GCCCTTGCCCGCCCCCCCCCTTCAGGCAAGACCCATGGTGAGCGCCCCATTAGACAATGTGCCTTTTGTGGTTGCCCTGTTTGCAGCGGAAAGCTGAGCGCTCTGCCCGCGCCGCGCTCCCCAGGCTCATCGCGCCCTAGCAGCCCCGCCTGCATCGCCAGGGCCCGCCTAATTGTCGCCCCACGCAGCTTTGGCCCTCTGTCCCTGCCGCCCCTCCCACACACATGTAGACAACAAACATTGTACTCACACATACATGCACACATTGCATGCACGCACATGCATGCGTGTGCAGGCGCGTGTCCCACCGGCGCCGGCCCGGGCCCCGAGAAGGACCCCAAGAACCCCTGGCCCGGCACATGCGGTGGGCTGGTGTGCGTGTATGATTGAGTAGGCGAATCTGAGACAGCATCAACATGCGTTTGTGTGTCAGTGTACACGTATTTGCGAACACAAAGCATGCGCCTGTGGGTGTGGGCTGCGCTGCAGGTCAAATGGAGGCGCTGTCAAGGCGCGCACAGTGGACTCCATCTCACTCTGTTCCCATCCCGCGTACCTCCCAGTCCCCTGCCCCCTAAAATGTACAAACCCCCGCACGCTGACCCGCGTGCCCAACGCACACGCGCTCGGCCGGCACCAAGGCCGCTCCCAGTCACGGCTCCAACAACCCGCCCGCCCCCTGCCGCCCCTACCGCTCCTGTCGCCTTGCCAGGTAACGGCACCGCCCAGGGCCGCGGCAAGAACGCCTTCACCAGTGGCTTCGAGGGCCCCTGGACCACCTCACCCACGGAGTGGACCAACGAGGTGCGGCGCCGCTCGCACCTCGCGCGTGCGCACGCCGCGCCTCTTGAGCCGCGCCACGTCAGACGACAATCGACGCACGCCGACGCCCCTGCGAGCGGCGCTTCCCAGGCGCACGCCGCGGCTGCCGTGTGTGGGCCTGCCCCGGTCCCTGAGAAACTCGCCCGCGCATACTGCGAGCGAGCGCAGCCGCCCCGCACTGCCCGTTTGCACAGCCCTTGCACGCCTGCCCGACCTCTGTCGCCCTGCCGCCGCCGCTGCTCTGCCGAGCGATCTTCGCTGTCCATGCACCAACTCCTCTCCGCTCTTCCGCTGCTGAGCCACCGTTCGCGCCCCCCATCTCAACATGTCACAACCCCCCCCAATCTCAACACATCAACCCCCCCTCTCAACTGATGGCAGTGATGCTATAGCATAAGCAACTCATCTATCTATCTCAACCACGTCACCCCCCCCTCCAGTATTTCCTGAACCTCCTGAACTTCGATTGGGAGAAGCACAAGGGCCCCGGCAACCACTGGCAGTGGCGCCCCAAGGCCGCCAAGTCGGCAGCTTCCGGCAAGCTTCCCAACATCATGATGCTGACCACCGACATCGCGCTGACTCAGGACCCCGTCTACCTCGATCTGGTCAAGAAGTTCTCGGCGAACCTCACGCTGCTGACAGAGCAGTTTGGCGCCGGTGAGTGCTCTTGTAGTGCGTGGGCAAGCCGCTCCTTTTCTAGCCGGTTTCAGGTTGGGGCGCCGCGCCCACGCTTGCCTCCAGCGCCGACCAACTGCAACAGAATAGTCCCACCCAGACCCCCACCCCTATATGTATGAACCCTAACCCCCTAATCCCCTTTTTTTCCAGCACCGCCCCTGCGCCCTTGCCCTCTGCCAGTCTTCCCCCTATCCCCTCCACACATGATAGTTTCTGACCATGAACCCCCCTACCCCTACACACACGAACAATACACCATCCTTCACAATCCCACCCTCCCAACGCCGGTCACGTTGGCATGGTAGACATTGACGACTCCCCAAACTCATCACCCCCCCTCCAGCATGGTACAAGCTGATGACTCGTGATATGGGCCCCCGTACGCGCTGCCTTGGTGACTTGGCAGGACCCGCGCGGGTAAGATCACGGGGCGCCTGGCCCCTTGCTTTGCCTGCGCAACGCTTTCACGCACTCGTCTCGCCAGCAAGTGTAACCCAAATGCTGCCGCCACATGCATGCCTGCATACAGCCCCTGAGTCAAACTGCCGCAGGAGCGTGTCACCTGAACGCCTCGGCTGCACCTGGGAACCAAACCCAATCACATGTGCCATCCTTACTTGCTGACAGCCCAGCTGATCACAAAGATTTGGACTCAAATCTTTGTTTGCCCCGCCCTCTTTTTGAACCCCCCACAGCCCTGGCAGATGCCGCTGCCCGCGGCCCCCAAGACCCTCCCCGACTTCTCCAAAGTCAAGGCTGACATCATCAAGGCCATCTCCACCCCCAACGCGGCCGTCCCCGGCGACACCGTGGGGGGCAAGCGCTACTACGGGGCGCTGCTGGGCCGCCTGGCGTACCAGTGCGCGAGCACCTACCGCGAGACAGACTATGCCGGTGGGTGGGGGGGTGGGTCGGTGGGTGGGAGGGTGGATAAGCGCGGGGAGTGGCCTGTGCCGATGCTGTATCCAGATTCCAGGGTGTCCAAGTCCCGACCGCAGCCGTTTGGGACAAGCTCTTCCTGCCGAAAAACTCAAAGCCCTGATTGTCGTCTGCGCCCCCAGACATCCTTTCACCCAGGACGCGATGGGCCCCCGCACCCCTGCAAATGACCAGCGCCGCGCTCTCCACCACTCCCCGGCCACTCCTTCACGTCACCTTGATCTCAAACAAGCCCTTGCCCCTCATGCCATGTCTCACTCAGGCGGCTGCAACGGGGCGCGCATCCGCTTTGAGCCGATGAAGTCCTGGCCACAGAACAAGGGCCTGGATAAAGCCCTGCAGGTGGGTGGCAGACCGCTGCCTCGATTAATGAATCTGCAGGTGGCCGAGTCGTGAAGCGGTTGCTGACCCCCTAGCAGGGGTGGGGGGGTGGCACACGCCTGTACGTGCGTGCGCATGCACTCACACGTGCACGCTCAACGGACGTGAGGGCGGGGCCGGGGTGGGGCAGACTAGGACTGCCGCAATGGGATGCATGCGAGAGGGCGTGGTTGCTCGTGCGTCAGTCAGGTCCCGCAACAACGCACACCATACCCTCAATCTTGCACCCATCCCACAGCACGGCCTCCCACCCCAAACACACACACACACACCTAAACGCTCCTCCACCCTCTGCACGAAGCACCGCTGTCATGGACACGTACCGCGCCCCCAACCCCCCCTTGGGCGCCCTATTGCAGCTGCTGGAGCCCATCAAGGCCAGATACAAGGACCTCTCCTGGGCCGACCTGATCGTCCTCGCAGGCACAGCCGCCCAGGAGGCCGCCGCCGGGCCCGGTGCCCCCGCGTTCCCCTTCTGCGGCGGCCGCACCGACGCCGCCGACGGCGCCAACACCGACCACCTGGCGCCCCGCAAGTACATAAACGCGACCGTCGCCGTCATCGACAACATCAAGGTCTCTGGGCTGACGCCCGCCGAGGCGGTCGCGCTGGCCGGGCAGCTGCGCAGCCCAGCGGCCCAGAAGGCGCAGGGGTACTCAAGCTCTCGCGCAGATTCTGCTGGGAAGCTGTCGAACGAGTTCTTCAAGGTGAGAACTTCACAGCCCCGGTGACTAGTCACTCCTTTGCAATGTCACTCTCGTCAGCACCAAAGCCCTGCCCTCCCTGCGAATGGCGCCAGCCCTCCTGCATCAAATGGGGGCCGGGTTGCGTGCATCGCGCAGGGTGTCCCGCCTTCACACCAGCTCTCAACTCAAAAAGAAGCGACGCTGCACCTAGGGTGTAGGGCAACAATGATGTCTGCTGCAAAAGCTCGAATGTTCTATTTTCCATGCACGACGTCTCCCAGGTGCTGCTGCAGTCTGACTGGCGCAAGGTCAACTCCCCCAGCGGCAAAGAGGAGTACACTGCCAATGGCGGCCTCTTCCTGACCCCTTCAGACCTCGTGATCAAGCAGGTGGGCCCACGCCTGCATCCCTGGGGGTGACCTGGGGCTGCCTGTGCAAGCGCGCTCTACGGGTAATTGCTGTCTTTTTGCTTCAGCAACTAGATAGGTTTGAAGGAGCCAGCCAGCAACCGCGACGAGTTGTTTCGGGCTCCACCTAAATACACACACATTCACACACACGCACACGCACAAACACATACACGTGCGCACACGCGTGCATGCTTTGTGCATTCTTGCATCAACGCACACAGCACTGCGCCAGCACCACGACGTCCATACCCTCGCAAACGCCGCCGAGCAGGATCCCAAGCTTTCGGCGATTGCAAAGGAGTATGCTGCCGACAACGCCAAGTTCCTCAAGGCGTTTGCCGCCGCCTGGACCAAGCTCATGAACGCCGACCGCTTCAAGGGGCCCGCGGGCAGCGTCTGCTGACGATGACCACTGCACATGGATGGGCTTGGCCTCGCGGCCCGCCGTGCTGGCGGGACCCAGCCAGGGGCTGAGCCGCCGTCGCCTGGCAGGGCGTGTGTGTGGAGTGGCGCCCTCCACCCATGGAAATGTGGCGTGTGCTCTGAGGCACACGAAGGAGCCTCAAAGGGCTTTCAATCCCAATGATTGGGGTGCGGGTCTGAGCACGCGCGTCCCCCGCCTTGCTCGTTCACGCCGGAAGCCAGATTGCTGGTGGGGACAGCCAGTCGCTCGTGCACAGCACACGCACTTGAATGTCGACAAATCCAGGCGGGCCGCAAGCGCTGCTGGCTTTGGTCGGACAAACCTCTCTGTTGCCCCCTTGCTCCCTGCATGGTGACTGCCGTCATCACCCAACGGCGCGCCCGCCAAGCGCTGCCATCATCTATCACGCAAGTGTCCTGAAATCATCGGTCGCGGCGGGGAGAGGGCGCAAAACCTGCAATCCCGTGGCCGCCGCTGAGCTCTGTTGGCCGCCTGTCGGCGTAGCGTGCTCCTGCGCGGCTTCAACACGTGGCTGGCGTGTGAGGGCGGGCCTTGTGGCGCCCCACACCGCCAGCCCATGATGCCACACACCTGACCCGGACGTGATGTTCACCCAACAAAAGGTACTGCCATGCCGATTCAGGCCCAAATCCAGGGACAAGAAGCACACATGCACGACGACACCACGTGCTGCACACACTTCTAGTCGCAGTCGAGCGAGGTTTCGCATATTGTGCTATTCAGGACCCTCTTGCAACAGGCATGTCGGTTCTCAATCGGCGGTGCGGCTATCTGCTCCTGCCATATTTTCGGTCAATTGTTCCTGTGGTCTCGCGTCACCCTGGCTATGGGCTGCGATTCTGGCCTGTCTGCGGCAATTCCAAGGTTCCAGGTCTGATGCACGTGTTTTTCAGGGGCAGCGCGACTCTCCTTGTGCTCGCTGCGCCACGCCATTATCACACAAATATAGAGTTGCCACACACCAAACTAAAAATGGTAGGTGTTTGCTCAAGCCAGGGCTGTCCTGGCAGGCCCTTGGCTTGTCTCAATTTGCACATAGCCTGCAACAGATTCGGGTGGGCCTGGACAACAGCAGCTTACAGGTGCACCGCTTCTAGGACCATTTCGCCCCAAACTCACGGGGGCTTGTGACCCAATGGTCAAGCGGCTTGTAAAGGGGCGTTCCTGAGCACGTACCCTCAGCATTCAAAGGCAGCGGCAGCGCGGCTCTGCCCACATGCCTTCTCCGCGTGTGGGCGTGGTGCTGGCCGGCGACAGCCGCAGGCTTTCAGGCGACCAGACCAGCCCCAGGGCAGCGCCTGGTGCTGTGGGCGCGTCCAGGTCAGCAATTTGGCCGAAGCGGCGCAGGAACACTGATGGATCACCTGAAAAGGACCAATCGCCCCCGCCGCATCAATCAACGCTGGCCTCCCGGCCTGGAATCCCCTCTTCCAACGGGGTTCCTGGCCCCATGTCGCCGCCTGCGCCGCTGCTGCCGCCTGCGCCAGGGGCCCCAGGCGCCGCGGCGCTCTTGTCGATGACGAGCACCAGCACTCCATTCCAGTAGCCCCTGCGAGCCTCCGGCAGCGGCGTGTGGCTGCCGTCCAGCGTCAGCCGCCGCTCAAAGGACGCGGCGATGACGCCGCCCCCTGCCATGCAGCCGCCGACCGCCTCGCAGCCGTCCGCGGTGCCCTGGCGGACGCTGTCAAAGTTGATGTCATCGATGACTACGATGGCGGTTGTGGTGAGGTGGCGCCATATAGCAGTGATGGCAAAAACCTGCCATGAAGAGGGGGGGTCGTGCGCGTTGCCAACCAATGCTTGAGGCATGCCACAGCAGAGTTGCAAAGGCACCCAAAACTCGCCTGCCGCGATTCAAGCAGCAATGCAGCATGCGGGCAAATCTTCATGTGTTATGGGCACCTTGTGATGCATGAACACAGCTCTCGCACGCATTTTGTCAGGCAATCCTTGAGACATACAGCGCAGCTGCAATGGCGCGTGCCTGGCTGGCGTAGTCATGGGCGCCGTCGTAAATGTACAGGTCATAGTGAGACTCTGGCAGCGGCGGCTGGAGGTTGAACGCGTCGCCGTCCACCAGCTGGTCACATGGATGGCGGCGTTCGGTTATCGGTGGTTGGTGGTTGATGCTTTGGGTGCGGATTCGGCGGGCGAGTCACAACCAAGTCAATGCACATGCGAGGTGCAGCGGCAACCCTTTTGTTGGATAGTGCTGGTTGATCAGTCATAAGTGACGTTAGGGACTCATCCTACTGAGTTGAGGTTACGAGGTCCGGGCAAAGCTGGCACGAGCTTGCCCAGCTCCTGCTTGACCCTCGCTGCATGTCCACCCGCGGCCCGTGGCACACGAGCCAGGCGTGCGCATGATCGCCCCGCACTAAACCTCCACCTTCCCACCTGCATCTGCGCCCGCTCGTCTTCCGACAGCAGCTGCTCGCACACCGCCAGGAACTCGTCCCGTGGGCCCCCAAACTCGGACCAGCAATCCACCGCAGTCACTCGGCAGCCGGGGTTGCCCGACAGCGCCGCCACCACCGACGAGCCCTTCCAAACCCCGATCTGCAGGCAGCTGCAGCCGCCTGGCAAGGCGCACAGGTTGTTGTACAAATGGCGCGTCGCGGCGCCACTCATGCCCTCCATTTCGAGCGCGGCAGCGCCTAGGCGCGATAGGCGGGCATCGGCGAGCGCAAAGCTACGGGCCACGTGGTCTGCGAGGTCGGCTGCTGTGCGTGCTGGGGTCTGTGCCCGCTCAGCTTCCATGTAAGCCGGCGTCGCTAGTAGGGCCAGCAGTCGCGCCAGGCGATCCAAGCAACGCAGCTGCCGCCAACGCTGGTGGCGTTGCTGCTCTGGCAATCACGCGCGGCATAGCGTGTGGCCATGCGTGGGCTTGGGTGGTGGCGGCGCTGCTGAGCGGCGCTGGAACGACATGACGTTGGATACCGAGGTCGTATGGGTTGGGGGGTGTTGGGCTGCGGACCGCTGAGGGGAAAGCGGCGCAACCGCTCAGAGCGGCGCAGCGGCGCAATGGCAGTGACGCTGCTGGAGGGACGATTCCAGTGTGGGTTTGCTGAAGTGCTCGCAAAGGCTTGCAAAAGCAACGATTTCATTGGTTTTATAGCAATGTGCGAGCCAGAAAAGCTATAGGCTTCACAACTGACCGGGAAGCACTGCAGACACCGTCAATATAGGCCGCGGAACGCACTATTTCGGTCCCTTTCACCCGCCACCATGCAGGCCTCGATGCACCTCCGCGCTTCTAGCAAGCTGCAGGCTGCCCGCCCCGCCCCTGGGGCAGGGCTGGTGCCTCGCACTGGACCTGTTGCCAGCCGTCGCTCGGCCCGCGTCCAGCCGGTGGCGGCCGTTGTTGCTGACTTCGATGCCAAGGTGATATTAAGCGCTTCAAACTATGCAACGGGTGAATTGGCATGAGCGATAGCCCTCGCAGCGGCGTGGGTGTGCAATGCACATACTGCTCGATAATCGAGATCGCTCTCCTTGCGCCCTTTCGCAGGTGTTCAAGAAGGACCTGGTCAAGTTTGCTGAGACTGAGGAGTACGTCGTCAAGGGCGGCCGCGACAAGTACGCCCTCCTGCCGAAGGCCTTTGAGGGCATCAAGCAGGTCGGCGTGATCGGATGGGGCTCTCAGGCGCCCGCTCAGGCCCAGAACATGCGGGAGTCCTTCGCTGAGGCGGGCCTGGACATCAAGGTCTCGATCGGCCTGCGCTCCGACTCGCCCTCGGTGGCCGAGGCCCAGGCCTGTGGCTTCAGCAAGGATGACGGCACGCTCGGGGATGTGTTTGACATCATCTCCAGCAGCGACCTGGTCGTGCTGCTCATCTCGGACGCCGCTCAGGTGCGCGGCGGCACCGGCAGTCTTCGGCGCATCGCGCGCCCCATTCGGCGACGCTGCAGCGCCAGTTGCATTTCCCGACCACATTGAGCCTGCAACTGGCCCGCTGGGTCTACATATGCAGCGCCCTGGCGTGCTCGGTCGCCGCCGCCCGCCCGCCTTCCGCACCCACTGCGACGGGCGTTTACGCGTGCCCGCATCCCCCGCCCCTCCAGGCCAAGCTCTACCCCCGCGTCCTGGCGGCCATGAAGCCCGGCGCCACCCTGGGCCTGTCCCACGGCTTCCTGCTGGGCGTCATGCAGAGCGACAACGTGTCCTTCCGCAAGGACATCAACGTCGTCCTCGTCGCCCCTAAGGTGCGGTGCGTGCGGGGTGGCCGACCCTGTGTGTTGCAAGCCAGCCTTCCGTGACTGCGTACGTGTGTGTGTGTATGCGTGTCAAGCTCGATGTGCGCGTGCATGTGTGTTGCGGTGGACACACATGCACGCGTGGAGTGTGCGACGCCGGGCTTCGTCGCGTCCCAGCGGCCATGTTCGCCTGCAGCCGGGCAGGAGGCAGCAGCGCGTGCGTTGGCTGTGGCGCCGGAAGGCGAGTCAGCATTTGTGGCAGCTTCCGCAGCAGGGCGTCGCAGCAGCGGCAGCAGCAGCAGCAGCGGCAGCAGTGGCAGCAGCGGCGCGCTGGCGCAAAGAGGCAGCCTGGCGTGTTGGCATGAACCAGCTGCGGGTGCCGGTTGCTGGCGGGAGCGGGAGGGCAGCGCGGGAGGAGCGCTGGCGCATGGCTCCATGGCGGCGCTATGGGAGCCGGTGGCCGCCGGCCGCAATTTTGTTGGAGAAGAGCAGCGAGCCCGCGGGCCGGCTGCAGCTGTGGCCGCGGCGGCCGCTTTTTAGGGCTGCCGGCGGCCGCAGCTGCGGCCGCGCCGGCGGCATGGCGGCACACGTCAGCCGCAGCAGTGGAAGCTGCCAGTGGGCTCATGCGGCGGCAGGCCCAGCGTCTGTGGACGCCAGCGGCTCCGCAGCTGGCCCAACTCACCCCTGGTCACCAACCCATCAGACCGCTGTGCAACCCAGACGCCTGACACGCTCCCCATCTCGCCTGCCTGCCTCGTGCCCGCCCCATCCGTGGCCGCAGGGCATGGGCCCCAGCGTGCGCCGCCTGTATGAGCAGGGCAAGACCGTCAACGGCGCCGGCATCAACTGCTCCTTCGCCGTCGAGCAGGTGTGCCCTTGCCGCCCCGCGGCCGCGGCCGCTGCCCCCCAATTGCGCAGCCTGGCGGCCTGTGCGTCTTGACACCACGGCCCTAGACAGGGGCAGCCCGCCCGTGCCTCCTCTCAGACCTTTTAAGCATGGCATTTGGACTCTTTCATCAGGAATCCATCAAACCAACACACACACACACACACACACACACACACACACACACACACACACACACACACATACACACACACACTGCGCGCCCGCGCCCGCGCCCGCCTGCCAGGACTACAACGGCCGCGCCACCGACATCGCCATCGGCTGGGCCATCGCCGTGGGCGCCCCGTTTGCGTTCTACACGACCCTGGAGTCTGAGTACAAGAGCGACATCTACGGGGAGCGCTGCATCCTGCTGGGCGCGGTGCACGGCATGGTGGAGGCCCTCTTCCGCCGCTACACCCGCCAGGTGTGTGCGCGGTCCGGGGAAGAGGCATCCTCGGCTTGGGCGGGGGGTTGAGTGTGGGGGCGCTGCGCCGTCGCCGCACTCGCAGAGTGTTTTTTTGGGGACGGAGGCACCCTGTGTAAGGGCGCGGCGCGGCAGGGGGGCTGTCGTGGTGGCGCTGCTCCGCTCTGCCGCTGTGCCTGCCGGGTGTGTTTTATGGGGCGGAATTGTCCTGTGTGGAGGCGTGCACTTGGGGGCAAGCAGATCGGTGGGGGCGTTGCGTGTCGAGCACAGGCCGGGTACAGCAGGTGCAGGGTGGATGGGGCCTGCGAGTGCAGGGGCCCGAGTTGTTGTCCGCTAGGCTTGGTTTTGTTGGGTTGAGGGGCCGTCCGGTGAGGGGCCGTTATGAGGGCAAGGGCGCAGGGTTATGAGAGGGGGCAGAGGCAGAGGAAGGAGCAGGCTTGGCTCACGGCGTCGCCAGCCGACCCAAGGCAGCGCGCTGATGACACAGCGGCATGGCAAGTGAGGGGGCGCAGGAAGGCGCCCACTGCCCGCCCTTTGACCACGCGGCACACCTCCCTGTTGCCCGCATTCGCGCGCAAACCGCGCGCCCACACCCTCACC